GAACTTCAACCATAGGGCCACCTGATTTGACATCTTAACTTGACACCCTAGAAAACTTAAACTCGTCACGGTAAGGAGCTTAGAGCTAGCATGGTGGGCAGCACGACCATCTTTAAAAGCAGAATCTATCTTCTCCAGCTAAACAATTCCTTCCTTATAATTAAACAACCAAGCCAAAGGATTTCGAGGTTGTTTGCTTATACATCATAAATCCTCACCTCATCTTTAGGCCTTTGTACAACTTTGTTGTACAATATAAGCCCTAACTCATCTTAGGATTCTGAGGTTGTCGTTTGTCACGACCTAAATCCTCACATCTTCCAGAATATTTTTGTAATTGTTTCACACGAATGTAAGTCCTAAATTGATAAAATTGACAGGATGAAACACCAAAATATTTCTTCACAAAGCTGAAGTCAAACCATAGGATAGACCGGGAAGTCACCGAGATTCTCCTCCGGATCCATGACGTCCCCTAGTTCTTGCTTCTTTGGATTCCAAAAACAAAATGCTCTAAATTTAAGTCAATCCCATTTCACACCTCTTTGTCCGATATCATTGAAAAGTCCTATCCTTTTAAAATACTTGAAGATAATATATCTTGATTTTTATCAAGAGTTTTCTTAGATGACTTCAGTCATATAGGATGTAATTAACTATAGGGGCTTGCCTTGTAGGAAGCTTGTACAAACCCAGCTTAATATAAATCCTATTTAATTCTTCATATTAAATAGGAGAAATTGTCGGCAAATAAAATGGTTTCACAAATCAAACGGATGTCATATATTTCTCAGTTTATTTGATCGAGCCTTATCCTCAAGTCTTGTGTTTATCCTTCGGGATAGATATAGGGTTTGATGTATAGCGCTCTTTCATTTAAACTATAAAAAATATGGGTCACTTTGATTTCATATTTTCTAAACCTAAATCTATATTTAAATTAAAATGTCCTTCCGAAGCAGGCAACGGGATTTCAATTCCGGTGACCGACAACTTCTTATGGGCAACTCCTCAAACCAAAAATAGTGTCGACAGTTAGAATCAATCATATGCCCTTATGAACTTTCCTCGCTTACTGAAGTGAATTGAGGCTGGTTCATTTCAAGTTGGCCTAACTTCCTTGATATTGTAGCAACCTGATATGCAAGAATTGCAAACGCATCTGTTTTCCATTTCCATTTCTAGTTTTTTAAGTCCTTTCTGGTTTTTGATTTTTTTCCTTTTTCTGATTTTTTTCCTTTTTTCTAACTCAGGATTGTAAGGCACAAGTCTTATAGATCATTTATTTCGCATATGCAACACAAAAAATAATACATTAACAACTAAACAAATAAAACAAAAAATATATTCAACACAATAAAACATTTTTAGAAACACCTTGTTTTCACAAAAAATATTTTTTTCACAACACTTTGTCATACAAAAACAAAACACTTTTCACACAAAAATAGTTTTTACGACACTATATTTTTCAAAGTCTAAGTCTAATTACTTCAACTAAAATTCTCCTAAAAGTCAAGATCAGCCATTGTGATCCCCAACAAAGTCGCCAAAAACATGATTATTCTTTTTTATATGTAGAATTTAAGAGTGGACACCACTACTTAAAAATTTTAATCCTCGGTAATGACACCGAAAGTTTGATCCCAAGCAAAGTAAGATTTCAATTATATTCTATGAATTCTACGCAAGTATACGTATCGTTTCAAGTAATATAGGGCTTTCTAATTAAGCCCTAAATATCGATCCCACGGAGATCGAGGTTAATCACATTGGCTTTCAAGAGAAGTTCTAGTCTAGAATAACATGCCCTAGCTATGAAGGTTGATAAAGGTTTTGTTTTGATGATATCCTATAATTCTCACTAAAATAATACTTCTCCTAAACTAAAATACTTAGTAAAAATCAGAAAGTGGGGTTTAATATATTAAAATACTCATCCTCATATAATGAAAATAGTGACATGTGTAAAAAGAAAACAAGTAGTGAGAGAGATTGTGACAAATAGAAGCAATTATATTCTTTACCCTTACTAGAGATGCTATAAAGAACATTGAATGAATCTCTAGAAATGTTTTAAGTTTCTTCTCCTCTTCCTATTGATTCCAAAGTCCAAGAAATGTTTTAAAAGTACATTTCCAAGCCTTATTTTATAAATTCCCAAGAGATGCTTAAGTGTCTCTTCAAAACTGTCCAGATTCAATGAATCTTCCAAATGGTGCCTGAAGTACCTCTTCAAAACTCCATATAACTGCCCCCAAATTCTTCTAGAAAGTCCCTTTTCTCATTTCCAACGAATTCCCCAAGAGATGCACGAAGCACCGTTTCAAAAATTGTCCAAATTCAACGTATATTATAAAATATATGTTGAAAACCGTCACCGACGCCTAAGCACCGTTTTTGGGCGCTTAAGTGGCCCCCTCTATGTCTGGTGGCGCCTAAGCACCATTTTGGGGGCTTAAGTGATGGGCACAGACACTTAAGTGTCCAGTTTAGGTCCCCTTGGCTCTGGTGTGCCCTAGTTTGACCCAATTAAGAAGGAAGAGTAAAGAAAACTACTCACTACACATGGAGAAACAACAAGAACTTTTCATTAAACAAGACTTTGAAACCATACAAACAAAGTACTAGATTCAAATCAAAATACAATGAAAATACTTATCTTAGATGTAAATCAAACTCTCCTTGTAATGAAAAAGCAATCTCCTTACAATCTTCTCCAAGACCAAAGTGAAAAGAAAAAAAAGAAATCTCTCACTCTCTCTCATTCTCTCTCACCTTGCCACCCCACTTGGGGCTCACGCCCAAGCCTTCTTCCTCTTATTCAAGCCTTCTTCTCCTCTTCCTATTGATTCCAAAGTCCAAGAAATGTTTTAAAAACATTTCCAAGCCTTATTTTATAAATTCCCAAGAGATGCTTAAGTGTCTCTTCAAAACTGTCCAGATTCAATGAATCTTCCAAATGGTGCCTGAAGTACCTCTTCAAAACTCCATATAACTGCCCCCAAATTCTTCTAGAAAGTCCCTTTTCTCATTTCCAACGAATTCCCCAAGAGATGCACGAAGCACCGTTTCAAAAATTGTCCAAATTCAACGTATATTATAAAATATATGTTGAAAACCGTCACCGACGCCTAAGCACCGTTTTTGGGGGCTTAAGCGGCCCCCTCTATGTCTGGTGGCGCCTAAGCACCATTTTGGGGGCTTAAGCGATGAGCACAGACACTTAAGTGTCCAGTTTAGGTCCCCTTGGCTCTGGTGTGCCCTAGTTTGACCTGATTTTCTCTGGTTTGGTCCATTTTTGTTTCTTTTGCTCCAATCACTCCAAATTCTTCAATTTGATGTACCTACAACCAAAAACGCAAGAAAACATACCTTCAAAGTGCAATATTATTATAAAATGAAGCATGAAAATTGACATTTTTAGGCGTATTAGTGTCCAATTGTTAGTTGTCATGATTAGGCTAAGAACTGTCCTCCTTCGATTGCCTTGCTAGTAATTTCTAGCTGATGTTGGATCTTACATACACAGATTAACGTTGGTTGCCTACGAAGTCGCTCAAGGATGATAAACCCGAGCCCAAACCTAACTCAAAATACTTATGTCTAATTCTGATCTTTCATATATGTTTAACACCTGGTTCTATACAAACATGCATGTTTACATATTTCGTATTTTAATTTTAAAACATTTGATGCTTGTGATAATTGCAATTTCATCAGAGGTGGCAAGTGCACGCTAGTACTTTCCCTTGTACAACATTTTACTATACATATTTTGTTTTTGCATCCAATGTTGTTATCTTTTTTGCTTTTCATTTGAAAAAGGCCCCAAGATAGCAGACATGAGACATATGCTGAAGTGAAGACCCTATAATAAAACTTATCAACTCAACAATAACAATAATCAATTCAACATAAGTACACATGATAAAACAAAAATACCAAAACAAAGAACCCAAAATGAACTACTCACAAGATGGTCAACGATGATGCAAGCAAACGGTGAACAACCCCAGACGACGATCAAGACAAAACATGAAGTGAAAGACGATCCCCAACTAAACTTTTTGTAAACTTAAAGAATATAAATCTTTAAGTCTTTGAGATTGTTTGTCTAGCACGCGTAAATCATCATACTATCTTTTAGAATTTCGCACAATCATAAGTTGTGTGATATAAGTCCTAATTTGTTTTGGGATCCCGAGGTAGTTTGTTCGGTATGACGTAAAACATTCTATCTTCCTAGGCAATTTGCACGATCGAACATTGTGAGAGTGTAAGCCCTAAATATTAAATAATTGTCTGTATTAAACATTCAATAAACATCATTTCTAAAAATTTAAAGCCAAACAATATGATGGTTTGGGAAGTCATTGAGGTTCTCATCATAATCTATAACATCTCAAACCTCTCATTCTTTTAGATTTTAGAATAATTGTTCCTATTTGAGTCCTTCACACTTGAATTTCTCATGTCTAATAGTTAAAACAAAACTTTAAATTCTTGAAAAAGAAACCCCTCATCTTAATAGATAGTTTTTTTAGGTGACTTTAGTTGTCTAAGATGTAATCGAATATAGAGGCTTGCCTCTATAAGCGAATTAGTAACCCAAATATTCTAAATCATATCTATTTTTATATTAGATAGAGGAATTGTCGGTCATAAATTCTGTAAAACAATTAGAGTCATAAATTTCTTAGTTTAAATAGTTTAGTCTGCTATCAAGTGATACATTTATCTTTCGAGATAATGCATCACTTGTGTTGTTGTGCTCAATTATCTAAGTTATTAAAAATAATAATTGAATTTTCATGCTATCCATCACACTTCGTTTGAGGGTGATTTCCATACAAATAATGTAATTCTTATGATTTGCCTATTAAACACTTTAAATTTGATATTTACTTATATAACATCTAAATCCTTAGGATCACATCAAAACTACCTACTAATATCAACCAAATTATAACCAATATTTTACGTGGTGCTTATTGCAAAACACAATTTCCAATTTCTTTTGAGTCAACCTTAATCCACCGTTCAGCCCCCATTTCTCGTCGAAGCGACATTCCATGGCCGCCCAACGAAGATGGAACCAGGCCTTTCCTCATCGCCTCACTCTCCGCTCTACACCTCCCTACTCGTCGCCGGCCCCCGCATCCGTCCCCTTACCCAAATCCACGCCCGCATCGTTATTTCCACCCTCCACCGAAACCGTTCCCTCCTCACAAAACTCCTCACCCTCATCATCTCCGCCGGCTACCCTCTCTACGCCAACCGTCTCCTCCCCTCCGTTCCTAACCCTGACGCCTTCCTCTTTGACTCCATCATCCGTGCCTCCTCTCGCTCAACCCTGCCTCTCCATTCTCTCCATTTCTATCTCCTAATGCTCTCCTCCTCCCTTCGCCCTTCCAATTACACTTTCACTTCCCTCCTCAAAACCTGCGCTGATCTCTCCGCCTCCGACCTCGGCCGAATCCTTCATTCCCATGTTCTTGCCGCCGGCTTTGGCCTCGACCGCTTTGTTCAAACCTCCCTGGTCGTTCTCTACTCTAAAGCCGGTAACTTGATCATTGCACGCAAGGTGTTTAATAGAATGCCTGATAAAAGTGTAGTGGTATGGAATGCATTGATCTCTGGTTATGAGCAGAATGGACGTGCTGGTGAGGCGATTGAATTGTTTTATTTGATGCGGAAGAAAGGGATAGAGCCGGATGATGCTACTCTAGCTATCCTTCTTTCTGCTTGTTCCCAAGTTGGGGACTTGGCTTTGGGGAAGTGGCTTCATGAGCATTACATCCAAGGAAAAAATCTTCGTCTTGGTTTGGTTCTCGGATCTTCTTTGTTAAACATGTACGCTCGATGCGGCCAAGTGGCAAAGGCTCGAGAAATATTTGATGGACTCGAAGAACAAAATGCGGTTTCATGGACCGCAATGATTGCCGGCTACGGAATGCATGGATTTGCGGAGCAAGCAATGGAGCTTTTCGAAAGAATGCAGCTTTATGGCCCTCCACCAAACCTTGTCACCTTCGTGGCTGTTCTGTCCGCCTGCGCTCATGGAGGGATGGTCCAACAAGGCCGGGAGGCTTTCGACTCCATGAAATTTGATTATAATTTTATTCCAAGAGCTGAACATCATGTCTGCATGGTTGATCTCTATGGCAGAGCTGGCCTGCTTGATGAAGCTATGAAATTCATAAGGGATCAAATAACTGGAGAGCCTGAAGCTGCAGTTTGGACTGCATTGCTTGGTGCTTGCAAAATGCACAAAAATTTCAACAGGGCTGCTGAAATCGCCACAAAGCTTCTGGCTTTAGAGCCTGAGAATCCAAGCCACCATGTTCTTCTTTCAAATATTCATGCTTTGGCAGGGAAGATGGAGAAAGTGGAAGAGATTAGAGATTTCATGATTTCCAGAGGTTGGAGGAAGAAGACTGGATATAGCTTGATAGAGATCAATAATGTACCCTATATGTTTAGAATGGGGGATACATCAAACCTGAAAACGGTCGAAATCTATCGATATCTGGAGGAGTTGATTTGCAGAATAAGGGAAGTAGGATATGAGCCGATGACTGATTCTGTTCTTCATGAATTGGAGGAAGAGGAGAGGGAGGTTGCGCTTAGATTTCATAGTGAGAAGCTGGCTGTTGCTTTCGGCCTGTTGAGTACTGGTGCAGGGAGTTTGATTAAGGTTGTAAAGAATCTGCGCATATGTGGTGATTGCCATTTGGCTATCAAGTTTATTTCTGGAGTAACTGGTAGGGAAATTGTTGTTAGAGATAAACACAGGTTCCATCATTTTAGATATGGGCTCTGCTCTTGCCAGGATTACTGGTAATTATCTCTTATGATTGTTTATTTTGATGTTTTGTTAGTGTAGCCAAGCATGAGATTCTAGGATGCTTTGATATGCAATTTTTGGGGTGAAAAAATTGATTGGAAATTATAGTTCTGTAAACATTTTTCTTGCATTATTCTTCTTTTATGTTTTAAGGACACAAATCACTTGGTATATATTGCTATGAAATCTTCCCTTCTTATTCCATTGTATTCTGCCATTTATTTTCATATTGTCTTTGAGTCGAGCTTGAATATGGCAGCCTGGGCAGGAGTTTTAAAGTTTTGTTCCTTTATTATTACTTTTTTAATATTTTTGGAACTGCAATTAAATAATTGGGCCTAACTAAATGTATTGTTGATGCTAACGATTTAAATATATAATCTAATTGCGAGATATAATTGGATATATAGATTTTTAGTTAAAATTTTCATGATTAAATAGGTATTATTTAAGTCATTTGAAATAGTTAAATATTGATAAAAAATTTTAAATCTGCATATCTAGTGTATTGTTTTGATAGTTTCATCATATATATACCTCTGATAATTCACATATTTTTAAAAGCTTATAAGATGAAAGAAAATTGATGCAAACATAAAGAATATGTCTCCAAACAAGCATTTAAGCCATCATTAAATGACTTTAATGGAGTCTTTAGTGGGTTAATTGTTAAATAATGTGTGTTCATGAACATAAAAGAATATGTAAGTTAGCATTCAAGCTTGTTCATTTATATAGCTAATTTTTAGAATTTGGTTTAATCCAGTTCTTGTATGTAAATAAGTAAATATAATTGAGCATTATATAAAAAATATATTGAATTATTTTTTAAATGCACTTGTTTTGCTTATAACGTCATTTGTTTTACATGAATTCATTTTTTATGAACTCAATTCATACATAAATTTGAATAATGATTTTGCCCCTGGACATGCGGACGAGATGTTGGTCTAGTGGTTGGGCACTTCCTCCCGCACCGAAATATCTAATGCTCAAAGCTCACTGACCTCAAACAATAAGAAAAATAAAAGAAAACACATGAGAACACACTCAGCAGCAAAATTGTATGTGTGTCTCTTCTCAAATTATTTGTTTAATGAAGTGGAATCTATATATATTTTTGTCTAGATTTTATTTGGGGATCGTAGCTATGCTCAATCCTTATATAAAGTTCTAAAATCTTATTGTGAGTGTATTTTGAGTAGTAATGTTGTTTTATTATTTTAGATAAAAACAAATTTCACACAAGTGAGCCTAACTTTTACTATAACTATATTTTGTTAGCCGAATTAATAGGATAATTCTATAATGTAATATTTAATGAGTACCAACTTAATAAGGTTGCAATTGTATATTTAACATTTACTAATTAACATCGATTATTAGTTTTGGATTTTAAGATAAATATTTGTAAGATAAAAAAATACAATGAAATATTATCATAAAATTAGATGTGGCCACTTAAAAGACAAATACATTTTATTTTATGAGTAATTTCAAGATTTCAACATTCGAGATGTTCATGAAGAAGCTAATTCTATGTGTGATAAAGTAACAAATACTATCAAACAGGTGATAAATGATATACTTGAAGAATCAAAAGGAAAAATTTTTATAAAAAAAAATAGTTGGTCGTTGAGTAATAATGTGCAAGAAATGATAAAATATAAGAAGTATTACAAAAATTGGTGAAATGTAAAGTTTAGAAAACTAATAAAAGTATAAGATGACATGTAGGGAGTCTAAGAGAATAGTTTTTGACGATATGAGTTATACTTTTAGTGGTTTTATAATAAATTATATACTAAAGCAGGTTAAAAATATATGTATAAACTAGCCAAAGAAAAGTAAAGATTCAATTCAAGTAAATTTTATTAAAGATAAAATCAAAAAGTGCTTCTCTTAGGGATGATATTCAATATAAGTAGGTAAACTATTTTGATAAACTTTTCAACGAAGTTTCTAAAAATATGATTGACAATAGTGATCTTAATATCATTATTAATAATAGAATATTTTGTTTTAATGTTCGCATTAGTAAATAGGAAGTTGAGGACGCTATAAAGAATATGGAAGGTGGAAAATCAGTAGGACTTGGTAATATCCCTATTGAAGTATAGAAATATCTAGGAGATTTAGGAGCTTCTTGGCTTACTAAACTCTTTAATATTATTTCAAGGAGTTTAAAGATGCCTTCGGGCAGTGAAAAAGAATTTTGTTCTCCATTTTTAAGAACAAAAGGTATGCACAAGACTGTGCAAATTATAGAGGAATTAAGTTAAATTGTCATACTTTAAAATTATGGGAGAGGGTACTAAACATAGGCTACAAAGGGATACAAAGATTTCTCATAATCAGTTTGGGTTTATGTCAGGCAGACCTACATGGATTCTATACATTTTTTGTGTGGTTTGATGGAGAAGTATGGGAGGTTTGATAAAGAAATACAGAAAGACTATACATATGATTTTTGTGATTTTTGTTGATTTAGAAAAATCTTACAATAAGGTTCCAAGAGAAGTTCTTCGGAGAGTTCTAGAAAATAAATGTGTTGATATTACTCATATTCAAGTCATTAAAGATATGTATACTATAGTTGTTACTTGTGTTCGAAGAGAATGAGGATTTACCAAGTATTTTCTATTTCAGTTGGATTACATAAGGGATCGGCTTTAAGCCCATATCTTTTTGTTTTAGTTTTGGTTGATCTTGTTGAACATATACAGAAAGATGTACTTTGGTGTATGCTTGTCATTGATAATATCCTTATTTTGGATAAGACTAGAGAAGGGGTACAAGAAAAAATTGAATTGTGAGGGGCAACATTGGAGTGGAAAGGCCTTTGTTTGAGTAGATCTAAAACTGAATATATGGAATGTAGTTTTAATAGCAGTAGCTCTAGGGGTAGAGTTATAACTTCGGGTGATAAAATCATTAGAAGGCGTGAATGTTTTAAATATCTTGGTTCTATTATTCAAAGTGATGACGATATAGAAGGGGTATGCTATTAGTAGAATTCAGGTTGGTTGGTTGAAGGCGAGGAATGCATCAAACATATTGTGTGGTAAAAAAAGTGTTGCTTAGACTTAAAGGAATATTTTATAAGATGGTGGTGAGACATATAGTGCTTTATGACACAAAAGGTTGGCATTTAAAAGAGAAGAATAAAACAAAGATTAGTATTGATTAAGTATTACTGAGATGAGAAAGTTTAGGTGGATTTTAAGATGAAGAATTGTAAGATAAAAAATACAATGAAATATTATCATAAAATTAGATGTGGCCACTTAAAAGACAAATAAATTTTATTTTATAAGTAATTTCAAGATTTCAACATTCGCGATGTTCATGAAGAAGCTAATTTTGTGTGTGATAAAGTAACAAATACTATTAAATATGTTATAAATGATATACTTGAAGAATCAAAAGGAAAAATTTTTATAAAAAAAAATAGTTGGTCGTGGAGTAATAATATGCAAGAAATGATAAAATATAAGAAGTATTACAAAAATTGGTGAAATGTAAAGTTTAGAAAACTAATAAAAGTATAAGATGACATGTAGGGAGTCTAAGAGAATAGTTTTTGACGATATGAATTATGCTTTTAGTGGTTTTATAATAAATTATATACTAAAGCAGATTAAAAATATATATATAAACTAGCCAGACAGAGAAAAGAAAAGTAAAGATTTAATTCAAGTAAATTTTATTAAAGATGAAATAAAAAAGGGCTTCTCTTAGAGGATGATATTCAATATAAGTAGGTAAGCTATGTTGATAAACTTTTCAATGAAGTTTCTAAAGATATGATTGACAATAGTGATCTTAATATCATTATTAATAATAGAATATTTTGTTTTAATGTTCGCATTAGTAAATAGGAAGTTGAGGACGCTATAAAGAAAATGGAAGGTGGAAAATCAGTAGGACTTGATAATATCTCTATTGAAGTATAGAAATATCTAGGAGATTTAAGAGTTTCTTGGCTTACTAAACTCTTTAATATTATTTTAAGGAGTTTAAAGATGCCTAGGGGTAGTGGAAAAGAATTTTGTTCTCCATTTTTAAGAACAAAAGGGATGCACAAGAGTGTGCAAATTATAGAGGAATTAAGTTAAATTGTCATACTTTAAAAATATGGGAGAGGGTACTAAACATAGGCTACGAAGTGGTACAAAGATTTCTCATAATCAGTTTGGGTTTATGTCGGGCGGTCTACTATGAAAGCTATACTTTTATTGGGAGGTTTGATAAAGAAGTACAGAAAGAGTAAGGAGGATCTACATATGATTTTTTACATATGATTTTTGGATCTACATATGATTTTTGTTGATTTAGAAAAATCTTACAATAAGGTTCCAAGCTTCGGAGAGTTCTAGAAAATAGAAAATAAATGTGTTGATATGACTCATATTCAAGTCATTAAAGATATGTATACTAGAGTTGTTACTTGTGTTCAAACAGAATGAGTATTTACCAAGTATTTTCTATTTCAATTGGATTACATAATGGATCGGCTTTAAGCCCATATCTTTTTGTTTTAGTTTTGGTTGATCTTGTTGAACATATACAGAAAGATGTACTTTGGTGTATGCTTGTCATTGATAATATCCTTATTTTGGATAAGACTAGAGAAGGGGTACAAGAAAAAATTGAATTGTGGGGGGCAACATTGGAGTTGAAAGGCCTTTGTTTGAGTATATCTAAACTTGAATATATGGAATGTAGTTTTAATAGTAGTAGCCCTAGGGGTAGACTTATAACTTCGGGTGATAAAATTATTAGAAGGCGTGAATGTTTTAGATATCTTGGTTCTATTATTCAAAGTGATGACAATATAGAAGGGGTATGCTATTAGTAGAATTCAGGTTGGTTGGTTGATGTGGAGGAATGCATCAAACATATTGTGTGGTAAAAAAAAGTGTTGTTTATACTTAAAGGAAAATTTTATAAGATGGTGGTGAGACTTATAGTGCTTTATGAAACAAAAGGTTGGCATTTAAAAGAGAAGAATAAAACAAAGTATAGTATTGATTAAGTATTACTGAGATGAGAAAGCTTAGGTGGATGAGTGGCTTGACATTTATAAAAAAAATTGCAAAATGAATCTATCCATGAAAGGGTCGGTGTAGCTTCAGTTGCACACAAGA